GTTTTATAGGGAGCTGCCCACCAAAATCTCTGCTGCTATCAGCATCAGACAGAAAGAGAAGCCTGTTCCCTCACCTAATTAATTGCCACCCACAATTGGAGTGAGCAGATAAAAGTCATTAAGATGCCACCCACAATTGGAGTGAGCAGATAAGTCAGTGAGGATGCAGGGGTTTTCAAACTCTGAGTTGCGGCTTGTAAGAACAAGCAGCTAGCTGGCCGCAAGATACTTTGTTTACCTGTGTTTCTGAAGGTACAGACATTTGCAGCTCCCAATGGCCGCAGATTGCTGTTCCCAGCAAATAGGAACTGCAGGAAATGGTGTCTTAGTATAATGTGCTGGGTGAAGATTGGCTCCTGCCGGACCCTGCCATTGTGTGGACTCTGGCACCTTGCCCTCCCTTTCCTTCCCTTCCAACTTTGAATTCCACAACTTAAAAGTAAACATTTTTCACCACTGCTGTTATATTTGGGTTTGTGGGCAGGGAATCCTGGTTCATCCCAATACAAAAATTTCAACCTGGCTGCGGTATTCTGCAAAGTTGGGTTTTTTTGGTCAGAGATCTATAAGTTGGATGGAGATAAGTGGGAATGAGTTTGGATAAAAAGAATGGGAAAAAGTTAATGACTTCATTGTTGTTTTTATGGAGGCATTCGGTTTCCTTCTGATACCTTTCCCTTACAATGCAGGACTCTGAAGCGTGTAGCTGTCTCTTCAGTTGTAAAATTGTTGACACAAAACATGCTTTTCCCACCCACAACTCTTTGTTCATAGAAACACTTCTGCAAACAACCTAGTAGGACACTTCTAAATGAATTAAGTAAAAACAGCAGAGGTGTACTATGATAAAGAATTGTGATTTACATACACACATCTCTTGCAATAACACGTGTTGGGGGGACTGCATAAAACATAGGCGGAATTCTACACTCTGTATTTGAGGGAGAATTCCTATTGATATCAATGGAAACTTTGCTCAAGCAAGGACCACAAAATTTAGCACAATATTTCTGGATTCTTATGAAAATATATAGAATTTTACTAAATTTGCCAGTGTGTGTTAGGGATTATGTCAAGCTTATTCTCCCTTATACTTAGCGTTTCCCCCAACTCCAAATAAACGTAAAGAACATGTCTTAAAATGTTTTATAGCTTTATAAAGTTAAATACACAAATTAAGATGTTTTAGTGGAGTACTTTTCACTGCATAGAAAAAGGGAGTGTGCATTGACCTGTTCTGGCAGAGACATTTCCATCAGCATACCTATCACTTCATCTCTATTCTCTTTCTAAATTGATATACACATTTAAATGGGCAAGTTCACTACAGGCAGTCCCCGGGTTACGTACAAGATAGGGACTGTAGGTTTGTTCTTAAGTTGAATTTGTATGTAAGTCGGAACTAGTACATATTGTAGGGGAAACTCTAGCCAAACATTTCTCCAGAGCTCAGTTTTATTCTCCCACACCTCACTTCCCTCAGTCCTTTATTCTCAAGCTGAGGTGTCTGCTGAGAAAAGCCGCTCTGCGTCTCCCTGGTCTGCTGGGGCGGGGGGGGGAGCACTAGCTTCGCGTCTCCCTGGTCTGCTGGGGGGAAGCAGCTAGTGCGGGGTTGCCTCACCCCGTTTGTAAGTAGGGATCCAATGTAAGTCGGATCCATGTAACCTGGGGACTGCCTGTAGTTCCATCTCTTTGAATTACTGAAACCCTTATCACTTCTATTATTTTTCCAGTGAGTGGTTGCTGTGAAATGCTTATGAAAAGTAGTTTTCATTTGTATAAATATTAAGAAAATAATATTTTGATTATTAACTTTTATGTGCAATGCTATATAGAATAGTTCTTCAGTTGTGGCTGATATGACCATAGTGTAACTATGGGGGAGAGAAGCAGACAAAGTATTAACTCTCAGACTTCAGACTGAGACAGTCTCAGGTGTAAAGCAGAGTAGCTTCAGAGACATTAAGGGCCATCCCAACAGCTGCAGAATACAGACAGTCAACTGTGCATATTTTCCTTGACCACATCTTGTAAGTTGGGAGGGTTGTTGGGTAGCCTCTCTAATAGCTCTGTATTACCCAAGAATTCTCCTAAAGTTGGGAAATCTTTAAGGGTCTGGATCTGCCATCTTTCTGGCTGCTTTGTGGACTATGAAGCAGCCACAGTAGATGCGAGGCTCTCGCTCTGTAATGTGGAGTGATGTTTGCTTTCGCTATATGCTCGAAGCTTCTAATGAACTCCCAGATATTTGATCAGGAATTACATCTCATTCCTTCACATAGGATTTGAAAACAGGTGAAAACTCGTACCCATAAATGTCAAATTTTTATCCTTGGGGTAGTCCAATAATATTTAAGAAACCCTTTATTTAATTTGGAGAAGGGGCCTTTCCCATAGTTACTGCCTTCCCTGTAGCATCTTCTGAAGCAGCATGTCTGTATTGACTCCTTTCGGTCTTGTTTTAGCCCCATAACAGGAGAGGACACTGTGCAGTTAGGATGTATAGTCCTAATCCATATTTGAAAGTGAATGTTTTGGCACTGCCAACCCTTAAGGCACTTCAAGTCTGCAGGGTTTGTTTTCATCTTTTCTGTTCTTTTGGCCCCATTTCTTTGCCTGCTGTTTCCTAAAGAACCAGAAATCTACACATTCCCTCTTCCAAATCTTTTCTTCACCTTTTTAGACAGATGATTCCCGAGTGGCCAGTCTGATCCTGCATAAAATCCAGGGTTCTTTCACTTTGCTTTCTGGCCTGTATACAAAGCTACATTATATTATTATTTTCTTAAAATACTTGTACCATAAAAATGATAAGCAAAATAATATTTTTCAGTTCATTTTACACTTGTATTCTGAGTGCCTTACACTTTGTATTCTGTGTTGTAATTGAAAGTATATTTGAAAATGTAGAAAACATTCAAAAATATTTAAATAGCATTCTGTTATTGTTTATCAGCATGTTATTGTTTAACAGCATGATTAATTGCACAATTAATCCTGATTATTTTTAATTGCTTGATAGCCCTGCATAGAATTGCTCTAAGTATAGAAAGGGATGTTAACACAGAATACTGACATTTTTAATGGGCTTGAGATAACAGGGAAACTTTCAGATGAGATAAGAGTAATGTAGTTGATTATGATTTTGACTAATAACACTTTAAAAATTAAAAGATCTTAGCAGTTGGATTCTGGCCTGGTGTGTATTGTTAATCAAAAGTGGTATCACAAGGTCATTGAAGATGCAGCAGTGTCTGAAGATTTTTTTTAAACTATTGTACAAAAAATTACTGTAATTGTTAAGCCTTTCTTAGAACTATACTTAGAACTATTGTACAAAAAATTACTGTAATTGTTAAGCCTTTCTTAGAACTATACATTGAAATATTTCTTAACTTCCTTTCTTCGTTGTTTTCCTAGTCTCTGAGGCCAAACTTTTCAATCCACAGAAATATGCTGCTCGTAATATTCTTGTGATTTTTCTGCTTTGGTTCATGGTTCAGCTGTAGTCCTTCAAGTGCAGTACTGCATAACTGTATATAATAGTCTTCTGTATGATCACGTCAGTGTCTGAATAAACATTTACTTTAACATTCATTTATATTCATTTCTGTAAACATTTTTGTACTTTTCTAGCAATTCTTACATAACTTCAATACAGTTAAACACAAAACTTTATGCTTCAGTATTGCTACAAGTTTCCCTAACCCAGTAACTTGTCATTTTTTTTACTTTATTGGAGTGAGAAATTTGGGGTGGGGTTGTTTTGTGTTTTGAACGTGTTATATAAAAAGAGAAAAATATGTACATATATTTTTTCTAGTAGGAGATTTTTCGCAAACTTCAGATTAGTATTCTAGTGGAAAAACATGCACATTTTTTGAATTTGAAGCAGTCAAACAATACCTGTAAATACAAGTTTATTTTGTTTAATGCAAATCCTATTAAATATTACTCATGAACACGTGACATTATGTGAAACTATATTTACAGTTTTTAATTTTTTATGTCTCAGAGAACTAATTTCTTAGACATTTTTCCAGAAAAAGAAATTACTTTGGAATTCCTATTAATTTTAAGAACTGATACCTCAGGTTCCTCTTAGACTATTTGACCCAATCGAGCTTTTATGATTGGACAAGAGATTCGTTTATCTAAAGGATTTAAAGGCTGAGATAGTATAAAATATGGATTTGTTGAATACAGCATTAACTATAACTTCAGGCAATATGTTCCAATGAACTTTACATAACCCCTTGATACCAGCAAAGGAATTAGTTGTAAAATTTTCCAATCGGTTTTCTACTTTCATGTCCAGCCAGCGATAACACCGACAAAACTGAAGTACTAAGAAATTGCTTTTTAAAAATTAAACCCTAGGATCAGTCTGAGCCCTCCTTGGGGAATGCGTTTCGCTGCAGTAATGATTAATAGAGCCTCTTAAGTGACAGAATATTCACCAGGAAGTTTTCACTAAATGAAATATTGACTCAGCCCTTCACCAGGAGAAACCCAGCTGGAAAAACGAGTGTTGAGATCCCATAGCTCTGAGAGACACTACTTTCAGTATTAATCAACTTGATATGGCACTTTTAAAATGTATCAGTATTCAACACTGGCTCTTCACTACAAGCTTTAGGCCAGTATATCTAAAATCATCCTTCTAAAAGTATATTTTAGAAAAGATAACTTGTCATAGAGAGAGAGAGAGAGAGAGAGAGAGAGGTAATCTTTATAGTTTCATCAGATAGCATTGTGAAAACCTTTGCAAATCCTGTGTGTTGGATAATGCTCCTCTGGCATAGAAATTTTCTTAGATGAAATTTAACATATATGCTCTCAGCTAAGTAACATTATTTTCTTTAAATGGGAGGGGGGCAGTCAAAGAATGTTTGGGTCCAGCGGATTATGTAATATAATTTTAACTGATGTCAAGGATGCCTGTAGCACAGAACAGGCTTGTTCATTGTTTAAATAAGGGAAAGGCTATTGCAGACTTATACCTTAACCCAGTGAATTTTAAATAATTCTTTACCAATTTAAGATATCTTTTCAGTCTGATACATTGAAAATAAATTGAATTGAACATAAGAAATCAGTACACAATACACGTTTTATTTTCCTAACCAAGAATTTTAAATACCATGAGGTTTAATTGGTGAATATGATACATATAAAAAGTGTTCTTAACATCTGTGTGCCAGACTATCCCAGTGAAAGGGCTGCCTAGGAAGTCTGTTAGTCCTCCGCCTTCTGTTGTCACTGGTACAACCTATTTTCTTCTAGGATGGACTTCATGCTATGAGGCCATTTTAATCCCATAAATCTATTGAGTCAGTTGTTACACATTTCTGAATATGTTCAAAAATAGGTCTTTTAGAAAACTAAAAATCAATTCCAATAGCTACCTAAGGTGTTTTAATAAAGCAGGTGAATTAACATAGTCCTGTTTTATTTGAAGTTAGTGAGAGTTCCATTTAGATATATACAGAAACAGGGACTTACTCTAGTGACTAGGATTGGAGAAGAAAACATCCGTTAATTCTCATAAAAGCGTGTGACTAACAGCACTAGAATTTGCTGTAGTGCAAAGCATCTTCTTTGCTATTTTCCCCTCATTCATAACTTGCAATGCCCCCGTTGTTCCATGGAGACATTTCCTGAAACTGCTCATCAGGCTAAGTTGTCTTGGCAATATCATTTACATTCACAGTCTATGAAATGTTTTTGGTTTGTCTCCAAAAGTCTCAGGTCAGCTAGTGCTATATTAATCCATCATAATATAATTTTTGTATTGCCTGCTAATCAGTTGCCTATGTTTAAAAAGCCCTCAAAATTATTTCAGGTATTAATGAAGTTATTAAAGGTAATAGATGACAGCCAAGCCCTTCTGAATTGGGATTTTTGTCACTGACTTCATTGTGCCCAGGATTTCATCTAGTAAAGTGTTAAGTATTACAAAGTATTAAGAATCACTGCTAAGAAATTTTTTTTCGTGTTAAATGTGTGGTTTCCTAAGAGTAATTTTTCTAGTAATGAACCAGTAAATGTTAGAACTGTCAATTAATTGCAGTTTGCTCACTTGATTAACCAGAACAGTGCTATTTGAAAACATGTTCTTACTTTCAGATGACATTGTAAACAAGAAATGGGAAGCATTTTCTCTTGCAAATTTAACTCGTTTGTGTGAGTGAGTGACTGAACAAGAAGTAAAAATGAGTGGATTTGTAAGCTCTACATTTGTTCTGTTTTTGAATGTAGTGGAGAGTTTCACATATGTATACTTAACTTTCACAATAAAGAGATTGCACTACAATACTTGCAACATGGGAATTCAAACACAGTTTTTTTTTCATTTTTTATTGTGCAAATATTTGTAATGAGAAATAAATATAAAGTGGTCACTGCACACTCTGTATTCTATATTGTAACTGAAATCAATATACAAGTTGGACCTCCCTCGTCCGGCACCCTATGTACCCAGGTTGGGCTCCAACCCTGTCCTGCTACTGCCTGCCCGGCTGTGGCTCCCCAGGCCAGAGCTCCAGGGCCAGGGCTCAGTGGCCTGGGCCAAAGCAACTTAGCTGCCATTGTTGGCTGCCACCGGGGCCGGGGCCGGGGCCAGAGCTCTCTGGCTGCTTCTGTCAGCCACTGAACTCTGCAGCTGGGGCTGGAACAAACTGGATGCCACTGTTAGCCCTTGAGCACCATGGCAGGGGCCAGAGCTCCGTGGCTGCTGCTGCTGGCTCCCAAACTCCACAGCTGGCGCTCTGCAGCTGCTGCCGGGCCCCCGCTACCACTTATACACAGGGGCCAGAGCTCCCTGCTGCACCGCCTGCCCCTCCGTGCCCCCTTCCCTCAATACGGGGCTCCCAGCTGAATCACCGCCCCCCTGCTGCTCCTGCCCCATGGCCCAGACCAGAGAATCCCAGTTAAGGGATGTACAACCTGTATTTGAAAATGTAGGAAACCCACAAAAACTTTTAAATAAATGACATTCTATTATTAACAGTGATATTAGTTATGAATAATTTTAATTGTGTGATTGATCACACTTAATTTCAAGTGCTTGACAACCCTAGTAAATATAAAATAAGATATAGAAATGTTATATAAACAATTTCAGGAATTCCAAAATATTTAGAAAATATAATATACTTAAAAGTCAATCTCTTTATGTAGTTGTGATGGAGATTTCTAGACTTTGGGTTCTAAAATGCAAGTTTTTCTATAATGCTAACAATGGCTTGTTCTCTCCTCTTTTAAAAAGGTGTTCCCTACTTAAAATACTTCCTTGTTTGCAATTTCTTAATGGTGAAAACCTGAATTATCCTGCAAAACTCTCAAGTGAAAGAATCAAAGTGTCAAAACCAGGAAGCTTTTTGAATTTTTGTCAAGCCCAGATTGAAGAAATTGCCATAGTAAGAAAGAAGATCGCTGAACAAGGGTAGATATCTTAATTCTTATTTTGCAAATATAATTATTTTCAAAAGCATGCTTTAGTATACTTTGCCATTGTTTTCCTGCATTTTACTTAAGCTTCTGTCTGGGAATATAAATTATGTTAGGAGTAGAATATGTATAACAGTAATAATAACAGAGAGATTATTACAGAGATATTATAATATTCCTCAAAATAAGTTTACCTAGACATGACAGAGTCCAGGTTAAATTTATGAGAACCAAACAAGTTTAAGCCAAGTTTAACATTGTACTCTAATGGCCCATTCAATTATAATAGTTATTAATATATTTTATTATTTGTGGCCCAAGATGAGATTAAATTGATTGTTATTAAAGGTACAGTGAGGTTCTTTTCCATATTATCTTTTCTTAGAAATGTTGATAATATTACAAAAGATTGGTGATGCATAGGTAGAGCTCTAAGTTTTTGTGAGGGAAGAATCTCTCATACCTCCAAACTTGATGCTTTGCACATTGACCAGCTGTTGTGTAGTAAATATTTTCTTAAATGAATTCATGAGATTGAAATCTACTTGCAAGGAAATAATGTAGAAATACGAAGAAAACATTCCCCAGCATAACTGATCATGAATTTAGTTCTGATACATACATACTCCAAGAAATGGCTGTATCAATGCAAATAATTCACTTGTTTAACACTGAAATGTCATGGCCTTTCAAAAACCAAGAAGCTGGTGATATTTTTTGTGTGGATGGGTGCGTGTGTATTTTCACGCTTGCACATAAGTGTTTATATAAATAAAATGTACAGTATTAACATGCACCTCATATTATAAATGTTGCTTTTTAAAACTGCTTTTTAAAAATTTGTTGCAAGTTTATTTTTGTACAGAATTTTTACAAGTTTGTGTTATCTTGATGTAAGATCTCGTTTGGGCTTTGTTGTGCTAATTAGTCCCTGGAATCACTCCAGTGTGTTCATTCTGGGGCTACATCTACATTTCTGGGTTGAAACTTTCATGCAGTAGGCTATATGATTCACAAGGGGGGTATAGATTGTATTAACATAAAATACTTGTGATATGAATTATGAACTGCATATTATTACCAATATCCTATACAAAATATTTGTTTTTAGCTATTTCTCAGGAACACACATTTGTATATATTTAATAAAATGAAGCAGAAATCCATGATTTGTATTTCTCAATCCATTCATGAATTCTTTGATCTCTTGTATAGGAATAGAAGCTTCAGTTCAGTAAAGTACAGAAGTACTCAAAACTGTGCTTAATTGTAAATGGATTATAGTTAAGGTAAAAGTTAACGGGATTACACATTAGGGATGAAAAATCCCAGTTAAATCACGGTGAGACCAGCCCCTTTTCACAGTGGGCCCCCTGCAGGACTGGAGCAGTCCACTGCTACTGGTTAACTGGAATCAGTGAGCATTCCCCATTTAGAGTGATGCTTACCGGTTAATCTTTCACATCCCTACTATACATATGCTTGAAGTTAAATGCTTGCTTAATCAGTTGACCTAACGATTAATCGTTTAACCAGTAAGTGGGATCCAGACTAGGGACAGCTCCAGCCTGGCTGGAGCAGCCCTCTGGCTGCCAGCTCTCAGCCCCTGAGCTGGGACTGGGGCTGTCCCTGCTGGCTCTGAACTCCCCAACAGAGAAGTCCTTGTCCATGGCAGACCTGGGCTCCTTGCAAATAAAGGCTGCTTCACAGGAACAGCCCCTGCCTGTGGGACACCTGGGCCCACCACGGACAGGAGCTGCTCTGGAGAAGAGCAGCCCTTGTCTACAGTGGGCCTCCTGCAGAGCTGAAGCAGCCCCGTGTCTGCGACAGAAGGGGAGCTGCCCTAGCCCCCACCGGTTATTGGTTAACTGGAACCAGTGAGCATTCCCCATTTAGAGTGATGCTTACCGGATAATCTTTCACATCCCTGCTATACATATGCTTAGAGTTAAGTGCTTGCTTAAGTGCTTTGCTGAAACAGGACTAGATTAATCAGGAAGCTATAAATCTTTCCAAGCCTTTCTGTGAGATATTAACAGCTTTACAGTAAGGGCTGAAATAATTTCTTAAACTAGAAAATGACTCTCTTAATGTTAGGTAGTCTCTGAAGGGCTTTAGATAGCATTTTATGTTTCACAAGGTCAAGTTCTTCACTCAAAAGAAAACATTTTACACATGTTTGTTGGATGTATTCTCTCATCATTAAGTGGATCTGAATTGTCTTGCTATATTTACAGATTATTTCTGAATTTTCTTATATGAGTAATCCTGTCATGCTAACTCTTTTTTCATTTTGTGTTGAAGATGTGGGTGTGGATGCAGGGGGGGGAGTTCTTTTGTTTTTTGCAGAGAGATTTATTCTCACTTCTAGTGCTTGCTCATGCCAATTGCAATAAGGAGTGTGTGCACCACGTGAACAATATCTGGAAGGTTTTCCTCCTAGTTGCTTACATAGGATAAGCTCAGACACCTACTGGAGTCATGACTCCATGGGTCTGTACATAGGGCCCTAATGACTCCTCGCCAGTTCAGTTCCTTCTTACACCTGTGATGATTAGCCAGAATGCTGGTTTTCTCTTGCTTTGGCAAGCCTTCATCCTAATAGTCTTCAGACTGTTTTTTTCTGTAAATGGACTGGTAGTTAGTAGTTGTAGTTAGTTTAGTCAGTAGGTAATAATCCTGGGGGTACCCCCCCATTCCACTTGTTCCACTTGTGCTATTCAAGGCTCTTCTTCAAGACACGTCCCTGTGGGTGCTTCATTTTAGGTGTCTGTACACCCTTGTGTGTCTAATTGGTAACTTGTAGTAGCAGTGCTCTGAGCAACTGTCCTGCGTGTGCAGCCAACTGTTCCTCAGTTCCTTTTCTACCACGGTTAGCTTTGGTCAGAACAACAGCAGTACCTTCAGAAAAAATTTCCTTCTCTATTTTAGCTCTGAATTTCCCTTCTTTGCTTCGTGTTGCCCTTCGGGGATAATTTCTCTCGTTCCATTTCTTTGTTTAAATAAACAAAAAAATCCCTTTCCCTTTCCTCCTGCCTCTGGCAGACATTGCCTAAAGTAGGGGCACTTGAAAGGGACTCTGAAAGAGGAAAACCATGTCTTGCTTGGAACAGCCTCTTATGATAAGGACTGGAAATGCCTCCCAGTCTCTTCTCAAAGAATTTCATCATGGGATTACTTCATGTATCTGGATGTGCTAGTCTGAACATATTTGTTTCCATGAAGATGGCAGACTCCACAAGGGTGCAGGCATCCTCAGCTGTATTCCTGTCCCACGTTCCAACCCAAGAAATTTGCAGGGCTGTAATTGGTTCTCAGTCCATACCTTTACCTTGCATTATTTTGTTACTCAGCAGGCTAGAGATGGTGAAGCCTTCAGCAGCGCAATGTTGCAATCAGCAAATCTATGAGCTCTAATCCCACCTCTAAATTCTTGCTTGGGAGCAGAGGTGAAAGTAAGTGGGTGCACCCTGGTGTGGAACTATGGCAAGAGCTGGCTGAGCAGCAGCAAAAGCCAGCAGGGAGTTATTTAAAGAGCTGGCAGGAACTTGGATTGCAATAGGACAGTACCTGTAAGAAATGTTAAGTTACTTTCACTGCTGTTTGGGAGTCACCTAATTGGAATCAATATGAGTAAATATTCAAAAAAGAAATGGTTTTTAAAACTGTTATTCTTCAAGATGTGTTGTTCATGTTCATTCCAAAACTGATTCACTATCTCTTGGAGCAAGGTTGACAAGAAGGAATCTGAGTGACAGCAAGTTGACAAAGCTTGACTGAAGGAGACACCTAATTGACCTGATGGGTACTGATTGGGGGGGAAAAAAAACCTTTCTGAATACTGTGCATGGAGTACACACTAGGGATGTGAACGACTAGTGAACACACAGCCCTGGGGATGTTGCTGCACTTCAAAGGTGGAGAAGCCCTTATCAACTAATTGAATAGTCAATATGCAAATTGCATCAACTATTTGATTAGCCAATTAATCTAAATTTAATGTTGCTAGTCCACACGCTCCTAACTGGAATGGGCATGAGCACTACATCTCAACCACAGGTAACTTTTTTTCTGTACATGATATTATATCATGAAGTGTCTATCCTCTTCTGTTTAAATGATATTTACATATTATGTGGGCTTGCAGTAGAAGATAGATAAAAACACTTTATCAAAAGAAAACTTTTTTAATAATGTCTTTCTTCTTTACTGAGTGATTTTAGTGTTGGAGGGGTTTTTTTAGCTTACTCCTAGAGCACACTTTAAGAGTATTCACATCTCTATAGCCATCGTGTTTTTAACTGTGGTACTTGACTTGTTTTGCAGATGAAGCATTGATGCTTCCTCACCAGTTCACTACTTGATTGAATGTCTCCTTACTAAAAAATTTGCCTATTACTTGTTTACAGTGTAGAGAATTTTATGTTGCCCTCAACTGGGGGGCGGGGAAATGGGCTATAGCTTCAGTTAGCAACTTACGGGAAATATCAGTTTCTGGTGTATTCGGGAGGATACAACAAAATTCTAAAGCTATGAGAGTTTGTTCTATAATGCACCAAAAAGTTTTGATAGTTTGAGATCAGTTAAAAGTAGATCATTCTCATGTCCAATTTTTTCACAAGAAATCTTTTTAGTTTAACTATCTTTTCTTGCAAATAATACTTGAGAAACATTTAAAAAATTGACCTTTAGTAATTTTTCAATTTAAACTTTTAAATAAACCTATATGTTATATTTTTGGCCTGGAGCACAGTTTATGGATAATTAAAAAACCATTGGAAAGTGTAGTTAAACACCCATACAAAAAAGCTCTAAACAAAACATACTTCCAAAAGCCTAAAGAGCACATCTATTATACTTACATATACTTTCTCCAAGTTGACTGACTTAATATAACATTGAACAAGAACAGATTGAAAAAAGAGTAAGTTGTCTGTTTCACATCTCACTAAGTTATGAGTCCCTATAAGTACAACCTCAACTATGTAATCTGCCAGAAGTAATCACTGGTTGGTTCTCTAATCCATGTTTCAATATACCATTGCTGCTCAATTAATAATTTATTGTGCATTTTCTGCTTTCAAATACCCTGTTTTTAACATGCTTAAGAATTATGTTTTAAAAAAATTAAATTTCTGTATTCTAATAAATCCTGACATACAGTCGTTTGACACATCCTAATAAATAGCAATATTAAAAAACACAACACATCAATTGCAGTAATGGATATTGATGGACACTGAAAACCTTATGAATAGTAACTATTTAAAATAGTGAAAATGACAGGAAAGCTCCATTATGGGAATAAAGAAATAATCCTAACCAGCAAAGGGAATACTGATATTTCTAGGAAGATTGCAAGCTGCCTGGTGGCTAAAGGCTATCCCTGGGACACCCAGCAGTGCCGAGTGAAAATCAAGGAGCTGAGGCAGTCCTACCACAAGGAAAAGGAGGCAAGCAGACAGTCTGGTGCAGCACGTCAGCTGGATGCCATTACAAGAGCAAAAGTTAGAAGGGCAGAATTTACAGCAGATACCTTATGTTATGCCTAACCCTAATCTGTTAGCCTACACTGAAGGTCTCTGTAAAGACAATAGTGATGTGTTCTGTGCAAGGCACTTTACAGCAAGTGCTCAGATTTCTCAGGGGAGGATCGGAATGCACTCGGTTTGGTAGCAGGCAGACATGGTAAGGGGCCAGCCAGGGCAGGAGCCTCCAAGCAGGGGGGTGGTGGCAAAGGGTTGCTTGCTGTTGTGTCCAGCAGACTTTGGGTCGAGCACACATTGGGTCTGACACACATGACTTCCCGAGATAGTGCTACTTTGCTAGCCACAGCAGCTGGATGCCATTTTGAGGAAGGATCTGGTCATCGTCCCTGGCATGGTCATGGAGTCCAGCCAAGACATGCCTGGAATCAGCTTGGAGGACACCGTGGTGACAGAGCGGCAGAAGGAGGAGACTAGCCTGCTGGCAGTCCCCAAGAACCAGGTGCTAGTCATGATGTTGGAGCCCATCCCCTCCTCCTATTACATGTACTAATCCAGCATCAACCCCAGAGAAGGCACTTTTGGTGAGTTCACAAACTTTTTCTAACTACCCACGGGTGAAGGCAATTGGGTGTGATGTGTGATGTCCTCTATGCCTACACAGCATGAGGACCTGGATCAGCTTGTTAATGTGTCTGCAAGTGGAGTGGGAGTCTTGCCTGCACAGATCCATGATGCTCTCACAGAGGACCTCTTTAATCCTTCTCACAAGGTTTTTGGGGAGGCCAGCCTTATGCCGTCCTCTTCAGTAGGACACCTTCCCATGCCAAGCCACCAGTAAATGGCTTGGTATCATTGAACCACAAAGCATTGCCCAGATTTATAGTCACATTCAATCAGCATTCACTCCTGATCACTCTGTGTGATTCTGAGAAGACTGATATCTCACGTGGCAACCTGGAGGAAGGAGGAAGAGAACATATTAGCACACTCTACTTAGGAAGCCATGTGTTCTGGGCACACATTTCCCTGTCCCCAGGAAGCCACATGTGTTGGACCTAGCATGTGCCAGACTCAGCAGCAATCCGCCCTCTCCTGCCCTACCTCCTCACGTCCCCTCACCTGCAGGCTCCTGCTCTGGCTGGGAAAGTAGCACTGTCTCGGAAAGCCATATGTGCTGGACTCAACATGAGCTTGACTCAACGTGTGCTGGATACAGCAGCAAGCCACCCTCTGTTCCCCGCCTCCTGCCTACAGGCTCCTGCCCTGGCTGGATCCTTACCATGCCTGCCTACCTCTGAACCGAGTGCATCCTGATGCTCCCCTGAGAAGTCTGAGCACTTGCTGTAAAGTGCCCACTTTAAAGCAAACATTTGGCCTTGCATGGAACACTGCACCATTGTCTTTACAGAGACCTTCGGTGTAGGCTAACAGATTAGGGTTAGGCTTTAAGGTATCTGCTGTAAATTCTGCCCTTGTAACTTTTCTTTGCAGCTGGGACAGCAGCCAGCTCAATGTGAATTCCCCCTCCTACAGCATTTGCCCACCTGGTTCAGACCTCTGGGTGAAAGTGGACAGGGGAGGACATGTCCCATGAGCAGATGGACAGCATGCACTACCTCGTGGAGAAGATGCAGGCAGAGCAACTGGACCAGAATGCAGAGCGCCACAAGAGACGATCTGCCAGGCAGCAGTAGGCGAGGCAGTAGGAGACCATGTTTGCCTCCGTGACCACTGTGATAGAGTGTCTGGTATCATGTCTGCAGGGGACCTCTTCCTAGAACCCCATCCACCCTGATGACAACCCTAGTCTCTCCTTCCCCAGCCCAGTTGCTTCTTCGCCAGGGGTCATCAGAGGGTGAGGAAACTCATGTGGTAGCCGTATCCTCCAGACCCTTGAGATGTAGAAGACAGTCCCACTTGCATTCCTGAGTCCCCCCTCACCTTCTAGTTCCCACTTCGTTCCTTTCCCTGCTGTTTTCTCCAAATAAAAGCTCCCGTTCTTTGAACAATGGTCTCTTTATTGGTTGAACGTCAGGGGAAGTGTGTGTGTGTGGGGGGTGGGGGATTAAAGGCAAACACTGAAAATGCATGGGTAACTTGTGGAGAGCCACATGCAGAGTTTCAATGGAGGCTTTTTATAACAAAACTGTCCTTCAAGGCCTATCTGATTTGCACTGTCACTTACTGTGCTTTCCTTATCATGCTAGTGTCCAGCTGCTCAAAGTATCTGGCTAGGTGCTCTATCTCAGTCCCCCATTCTCCTAGTTAAGATTCAACTCTTGCTCTTGCACAGATGATGGAACACCTAACACACTGCTATCACAAAGGGAAAGTTGTGTTCTCTGGGTCCAGCTGAGTCAGGAGACTCCTAAACTTTCCCTTTAAATGTCCAAATTCACATTTGAACACCATTCTGCACCTGCTTAGCCTGTTGTTGAACTCCTCCTTGCTAGGGTCCAGGCTGCCTGTGTACAGCTTCATCAGCCACTGGAGCAAGGGATAGGCTGGGTTGCCAAGCATCACTACTGGCATTGACACCTCTCTGACTCTGATTTTCCTATCTGGGAAAAAAGTGCCACTGTGCATCTTTCTGAAGAGGCAGGAATTTCGAAAGACACAGGTGTTGTGCTCCTTTCCCGGCTATCCCACATTGATGTTGGTGAAATGGCCATAGTATTTCACTGTAGAATCTTCTCTATTCTTTCAATTATTTTATTCTCTATTCTTTTAATTTATCCTTCATTCTCTTTTAGAACCTCATTAAAAATTGAGTCTTCTTGTTTGGAGTCTGAGTTATGTTTTATTCTAGATTCAGAAATATTTAATATTTTGTCTTGTTTAGTTCCTATTTTAGTATAGCTTTATAAGGTTAAAATAACCTCAAATCTTGTAGAATTTGCTTCACTATATGCTCCTAATTGCACTAACATTTGCAAAGAAATAGATATTCCAGTACAGATTTCAAACCCAAGTCTGAAAACCAAGAAAAAATAATTTTCTAATCAAGCTACTGGTACAGTAAAATAAGCAAACTAACGTGTGTTAGTGTAGTTAATATATTGGAAAAATAAAGAGGGAAAAGGAAACCATTTAAGAATATTATAAATTGGCTTTAAAGCAGGAGTAATTTAGTACTTCATGTTCACAATGGTATGTATGTATAAACTCATCCAGTATATGGTTTTATGTACATTAGAAAATAAAGCCACAGTTGATTTAATATAACATAATTCTGATTATTATCTAAAATAAATGTAATTACATTTTTATCTTTTTTTCAAGAAATGCTTCTTCCTTGGATGCTGCACAGAGTCAATGTTGGTATTTTAAGAAGCTGATGAAACTTAGTAATGAACACCGATATGCACATGAATATGGAGACCTAAACGTTGCTGACAGAGATGAACCAGAAGCACAGCAACATCATTTGAAGCAAACAGCCACCGACAGGCTAGAGCAAAATAACCTCTTTATCGCTGGTGCAAAGGAAAATAAGCAGGGCTTGTTGAATCCTTCTGAAAGATGGATTACTACAGGCCACATTCCGCCTATGTTCATTAACTCCTCCGTACCTGTTCCTGAAAAGAAAAGTAATCAAGAGCACAAAATAAAGAAGAAAAGTACTGAATGTAGCATCAGTCACAGAGGGGAGAGCAAAGATAAAATATCAGCTCCTTCTACAAGAAATACGTTCAGAGAGAGAATCATTGCAAGTAATGAGAGAGAGAATCTTCAGCATGTTGAGAACAAAGTAGAAAAGTAAGTTATAAATGTCAAATATTTGCCATAAAAACCCAGTTCCATTTCTGCATAATATTAATCTGAAATATTAGTCTTCAAAATAATTTCCAATAGGATAAAATCTTACAACTATTATGTTTTATTAAATGTTTGTCTACCTAAGAAGCTATTGCGCTGTGAATCTACAGTACAATAGCTTTTCATGCAATAGCATCCTGTGTGGACACTGCTTCAGTGCATTAAAACTCCTGGATGATACTTCAAAGCATAGGATGCTATATATTACACCCTGGCTTGCAGTGCAGTAACTTGTTATGTAGACAAACCCTTTGTCTTTTCTGGTGACCTCCTATGTACTTTTTCATAAAAAAGTTTTGACTCTTATTGTCACATAATCAGGGTTAAAATTCATATCCTTTATGCCTGCTAGTTCTGCGGTATTTTGTCAGTGATTGCATTATAACAATACTTTAAAAAATGTATTCTAATTCAAAACTCCATGAAAGTAATAAGAAAATTTAAAACCATGATTTCTATCTGACATTTCCTTTCTTGGTACTTAATATGTGAATCCTCTTTCTAATTATATAAAACAATAAGATAAAATAGTGTAGAGGTTTTTTACCACTGTTAAGCCTTTTTTTCTGGAACTTTCATTAGAGCTTAGTCCTCAAATGTGCTGAGTTTTCAGCTGGTATAGTTGAGAAGGTGGGAGGGAAAGATGCTGCTAAACTGATATCTCCATTTTCTTGACCATGGGCCAGTCACATGCAGCTGTGCTTACTGAAGCGCCAACTATCTATCCTGCCCCTTGCATTCCCAATGTGCCTATTTAATCCCATACAAGAGGTGCTGGGGAGCATAGAGCCAGCTTGATTTGTGCTACGTAAGGTTTCTCGGGAGGACTTGCAGCTGCGGCAGCGGATCTTGGAGGAGCTGGAGGAGCAGGGCCATGCCCTTAGAGGTCACCTCCAGACCCTGGTGGACGGGTTCCTGTCTCCTCCTGCTCCAGCCCCTGCGGCTGCCCCAGCTCTTGCTCCTCCTCCCACCCCGCTCCTCCTCACGCTTCCTCTGCACCCCCTGTCCCTCTTGCCCCACCCTCCACACCCACTCCCCGCCGACGCCCCTGCACCGACAGTGCTGCGAGATGGGAGAGCCAGCAGGACCCCCAACCCTGAGCTTTCCCTTCCCTTCCTCCCCTTCATCCCCCTTTCAGCTCCCTCCTGATGCCCTGCCAGAACCAGTTTCAGCTGCCCTTAAATGCGACCCAGCATCCAATCAGTGTGGACACGCTATTTCAAATTAGCAAAATGCTAATTCGAATTAGTTTTTGGGTCTAGATGCATTATTTCAAATTAGCTTATTTTGAATTAACTAATTTGAAATAAGTTAGTTCGAATTAGCTCTGTAGTGTAGACATACCCTTAGAAGTGGAGTATGCAGACAGCATTCCCTGTGTTTTCGGTTTCATTTGGGGTTTGTTTTTTTGGAGGAGAGGGGGTTGTATTTGGGAATCAATATAATTTTTTATGATATTATGAATGTATTTATTGAGCATTGCAAAATTCATAAGGGAGATGAATGAAGATGAGCAGAAACACAGTAGCTCATACAAAACCTCAGTGTTTTTGAAAATCTACTTCTTTTCCTATACATAGATTAAAATCTATAAGTGCAATCTTCTCATATAAATATTTCAAATAATCATAGAATCCTAGGGCTGAAAGAGACCTCAAGATGTCAAGTCTAACCCCCTGCCCAAAGCAGGACCAACCCTAACTAAATCATCCCAGCCAGGGCTTTGTCAAGGCAGGATATAAAAACCTCTAGGGATGGAGATTCCAGCAACACTCTAAGTAACCCATTCCAGTGCTTTACAACCCTCCTAGTGAAATAGTTTTTCCTAATATCCAACTTACACCTCCCCACTGCAACTTGTGACCATTGCTCCTTGTTCTGCTATCTGTCCCCCCTGAAACCAGCCTCTCTCCATCCTCTTTGGATCCTCCCTTTAGGTAGTTGAAGGCTGCTCTCAAATCCCCCCTCACTCTTCCCTTCTGCAGACTAAAGACCAAATCCTTCAGCCTCTCCTTGTAGGTCATGTGCTCCAACCCCCTTGTACTCCACTGGACCCTCTCGAATGCATCCACATCCTTTCTATAATGGGGGCCCCAGAATTGGATGCACTACTCCAGATGTGGCTTCACCAGTGCCAAATAAAGGGTATAACTACCTCTCTAGATATGCTGGCAATGCTCCTTCTAATGCTCCTCCTCGTAATGCACCCTTATATGCCATTAACTTTCTTGGCTACAAGGGCACACTGTTGACTCATATCCATCTTCTCATCCACTGTAATCCCCAGGTCCTTATTTTTTCTTGTATAAATATTTGAAGGCAGTCTTAACTGAGAGTTGCGCAGAGTGGTCCTAGAACAATTTTTATAATAGAGGAGCAGAAAGCTATTGGGCAAAATTGTAAACTCTGTATATGATGGAAACCACTTTGAGTCAGGGTTACTGCAGCACCTGCAGTATCCCTAATTCCCCTCCCCTGTTTGTGCTTGCTCTTTAATATTTGAGCAAGGCTTCAAAATATACTTTTTATGGTAATGACAATTATCTTAAAAAAAATCCTATTTTCTCGAAAATCAAGACTTTTTGAAAACCATTGTTTCATATTTGATATTTATATATCTCTGAGTTAACTTGTTGACTTCAAAATATTCGTGGGGGAGGCTGTGATTTGTTTCAGAATATAGTATCTTGTTCCACTGTAAGCTGCTTCACATTTTAAGCAGTTCCATCTAAACAAGAAGGTAAAATATAAAAATACAGAATTTTCATTGGTGTAAGTGAAATAGCAAGAAGGTAAAATATAAAAATACAGAATTTTCATTGGTGTAAGAGGTGCTATTTTTGTCTACAATTTTGGGATAAAAAATACAGAAGCAAAACTTAGAACTGTGATTAGATATTAACGTCTATAAAATTTTCTCCACAGATCACTGTAGAAGGAATGTGCCTTACGTATTTGAATTCTCCAAACCTTTAGAAAGTAGCAACCATATGACAGATCTGAATATTCTGATTATACTGTAATCAAGACATTGTTTTATGGGCTGACCCTCTCTAGTCCAGCACCGTCAAGATTTGACCAGTGTTGAATGGTAGAATTTGCTGAACCAATGTTGCCTAGCAGCATTACCAACATTTCCACTGCTGTCTGAGCTCTTAGAAGACAATAGGGTTAAATAGAGTTAAATAACAGCACAGAACATGGAGAGCCAGGACTGGTGGCTTTAAACAAACTTTATGGGACCACAGGAAACTTGGCCACACCCATGATACCTGAATATCCAGCTAACTAAAATTGTGCCAGACCACAGATGTTGCTGGACCAGGGAGTGTCAGACTAGAGAGTTTCAACATGTATTTTAAATTAAATTAATAGCTCTACTTTTTAAACAGTAAGGAAAATGAAACTTGAACAGTCTTTTAACCATTAGCACTACAGTATGAAATTATAAACTATATGATGATTGCATAAGGCAACTACCTGGCATCCCATACATATGTGTTTTAAATTATTCTGTAGTTTAAAAGCATCCTTTGTGTATTATTGTGTTGAATTTTCTTGTTTAAAAAATAAAAGTTCATTGAAGCTGTAAATGCATTTTCCAAGAGTCTCTCAACCATTGTGTGTTGATGAACACATGTGTACATCATACTTAATGGGGAGCTTCTTTACATTACTGATAGAGTGTTCAATTGCATAAAACTTTCTTTTTTTGGTGTTGCTAGTTTGGCAGCTACATTAATCCAGTCATATTGGCGAGGCTACGTAATTCGGAGAGATATTCGTTCCTATGCTAGATTACATATGGCGGCATCAGAGATCCAGTCTGCTTGGCGAAAGTATCGTGCCAGGAGAAACACTGTCTACTGTAGAAAAGAAAGTAGTCAACTCAAAGTTGCTATAGAACAGAAGCATAAAGCTGCAGCACTTATTCAGGTGGGTTTGCTGCATTGTTTTCTTCATTTATTACAGTTAGGCTCAGTAAGGAATGAGCTGGTTAATTAGCTGTATTTATAAGTAATTTTCATTTTGTTATTTTCTTGATCCAAACAGATTATTCTAGCAGAAAACCCTTTCTTGTTTAATTAAACTTTGTATAAACATCACAAGTTTTTGTCTTTTAACAAACATTAAGCCCTTAAATTAGTTGTTGCTGGATTTTAATGTACTGTAGTGGCTACAGTAAGTAATTCTAGGAACTTTGTACATTCTAAGTTCCAAAGTCTCTCTAGTCCTTTTGGAATTAAAGGGTCTCTGCCAGAATGCAGTGCTTTACATAAACTTACCTTGAAAGTTATTGCATATTGTATTTGTTGGGTGAAAAGTCAAAATGATTTAGCATCTTAAGTCCCATTTTTCAAAAATACTTTAGGTATTTTGAAGCCTAAATGTTATTTAAATATCAATAGAATGTAATTAGAAAATGTTATTACTTTCCTCACATTGTGACATCTGCTCAATGGGATTTGTCTTTTGGCAATGTAGAATACATGTCAGGACTAGATTGTACATAATTGGCTAATCAAATAGTAAATGCATTTGCATCAACTCTTTGATTAGTTGATAGGGTGCCTTCATCTTTGAAGTGTAGCAGCAGCCTTAGGGCCAAAGCACCACATGGAGCCTGAGGTCAGCTGGGGACACCCCAGCTGATCCTGGGCTGCATGCGACGTTTCAAAGCAGCAGAGCCACGTGGAGCCTGGGGTCTGGCCCCAGGCTTCATGCAGTGCTGCCACTTTGAAATATCCTCTCCTCTCCCCCCTCTGCCTTTTTGTGATACAGGCAGCAAGGGGGGGGGAAGGGACTAGTCGACTACCATGTCAACTATCCGATAAGAAAGTGGATATCAAGTCTAAGAATTTCATTATGTTTGTGATAAATCATTAATTTATGGCAGCACACTGCAAATGATGAGGCAAAACAGATACAGAGCTATTTTTTTGCAAATAATTTTTGAGTCAGAGAAGGAAATGGCAATGTCTTTTAATTTATACAGTGTAGGCTGTTCTTTGAACAAGGAAAATTGCCCTCCGAGTTGTAACATTGTCTACCTTAAAGCAGGATTTCCCCTTTAAAACCATGATCCATAAAAATACAGTTATAAAAATTAATATTCCTGTGTATAATGAGGCTTTTATTTTAAAATATTCAGGATATCTTTGCACATATTCCTAATGTCTTGTATCATTTTCTGGTATTTAACTGCTTAGTCTTCTGCTGAATGTTCTTTTTTACCTAAATGATGGTGATAAAAAAGACTCTTTAAAAAAAAAAAGTAAAGTAGATGATGACTGTGGAGATGTGGTTAGCTGGTTTAGGTTAATCACATGAGATGACAACAAGAATTGCCACTTGTAACCACTGAAAATTTGGTATAAGTGTGTTTTTATTTTTGTTCTCAGTAATTTGAAAAAGAACACTTACTTTTTTCTTATATCTTCTTCCCCCTCTACTTAGAATAGTCCCTGTAGGAATTGTCAAATAATTAATTAGTTGACCTGGGGTTTGTAGTTGAGGGAGTTTCAAGATTCCATTCTGCTTACTTGAGAAAAACCTCTTGAGTATTCTGAGCTTTAGACATATGCTGGCATTTAATTTGTCTTGTAGTTTTAAATGTCACATAAAGTTCAAAAAACAGATCATTGAGCTATTAAACCAAGGTCTAAGATGTTTTATCTTCCTAATGGGATAACATAGAGAATCTGGATTTGGGTTTGATCTATGGCCTTGTATAACATGCTTTAAATTTTTGTTTAGGCATTTTGGAAGGGTTTCCACTTGCGGAAGAAACTAGCCAGTGCTCTTGCAGCTGTTAAAAGTGATGAAGTGGAGGATGACTATGAAGAAGTAAATGTGGATGATTTTACATTTGATGAAGTAAGCTCAGTAGTTAACATAAAAGCCCAGCTAAAACAACAACAAACCTATTGTATGTTGAATGTCTTAAATAACATGTAAAGCTCTCTCAGGTTATTTATATAATTCATTTAAATGTACTTGTTATGAATTACTGGGTTTTTGGTAGCTCTCAACCTCCAGTCCTACTATACTATTAATGAAAGCTCCACCATGGAGCCTCCTCTATTTCTAGAGTCTGAAGGCAAATACATGGATTGAACAATTAGCTATTTTTGTCCAAAAATGTTCAATTCTGTAGCCCTTTTAATACTATTTTATACCCTATGTTAGCCCAGCATTGGGGAGCCCATGCAGGCACTCCAGCCCCTGCCACTTCCCTGCAGCCCCCAGCCTGTGACTGATTTTTCTGTGGGTCAGTGGCCCCCAGCCCAAAAAAGGTTCACCAGCCCTGCTCTCTGGGTTATAAGTTACAATGTAGTTTTAAAAATATTACACCACCATATTTTTTGGAGAAATATAGATTGGCTCTGGCCTTCCTGAGTGGTTCCCAGGAACTCCAGTGTCCCCAGTAGTAGTTATGTCACCAACATAGTGATCAATAAGGAGATCAGGAGATATGACACTGTGATGGATGCAAACTTCTAAAAGAGAAACATATTTGAAATTAAAGGAAAACATATCTCCTGTTTAATATTTGAGCGATAATTAAGTAAATTAAAAAAACCAAGCCACAGGAATCAACAACAGGAGTTGAAGAATGCTGAATTGTTTAGTAACTGCCTAAGTTCTAGATGATAGACAAGAAGGATCAGGATTCTTAATACAAGAATAGTTAATGGGAAAAAAAAGGATAATGAAATTGGGAAGGAACAAGCTAAAGAAGTGGTGCTCTAGAACATCCAGTTACAATACTACAGGAACTATTAGAATCATTCTCAATAACATTTGACAGTTCAGTGAGGATAAGTGAAGTTTCAGGAGAGCAGCAAAGGAATTATGGAACATTAAATTCAAAACCTTGTAAACTGATATATAAAACACTTAAGGAATGTTCCACACATCAAGGGAAGTAAACAACTCTTCTTTGTAAATACTTGTAACCAGGGCTCTGGTTTTGGAAGTGGTTGGCAGAACTGACTCCAGCAAAGATTTAATTATTGCTCAGAAGCAGTCAGAGGGTCATTTCAGGGCAGAATTAATCCAGTCTGTATTAAATATTCTACCTAACATAGCACCACTTCTGGAAACTGGATGGTCTCTCCAAACTGAGTATCTGTTGGAGCAATTCTGGATGAAGAAAGTTACTGTTTTGTAATTAGAGTTCTCTGCACATATTCATTCATTCTGCTTTCTTTGTCATAATTTCAAACACAAAAAAAGAATGCTGTATAGCTAGTATCATGGAACCTTATATGACTTTGTCTATTAACATTTAGGTCTGGGTGAGCAGTGATGGGCTATATGCAGCTCATGGGTGCTTGCAAGAGTTCTGTGTTAAAATTGCACAACTTCAAACGATGACTTTCCTGCTTTTAATGTGGTTAACCCCTATTTGTCTAGAGGTCACATGCTCCTAGGATTCATCAGATATTTCTGAAAATTAAATATTTTGCCTTTTGGGTATACCAAAATGGGACTGTATCAGTATCTGGTCCCCTTTTGAAGACCCCAGTTAGAGTTGCACTTGATTAAACAGAACAAGAATAGTGTTTATTATATAGACATATAATTTATCATTTCTAACTTGGAATAATTTTTTACAATCAAAATTAGTTTTTCTTTTATCTTTGAGTAGCTATAAACGTTTCAGAGAGAACTTTTCTAAAAGGCAGCCACCCTTTCGAAGGTGCAAATCAGAGAGAGGCACAAGGACAAGGAAATAATTTTGCAGGCATAAAAATGGAGCTGTAAACAAGGAGAGTAGGCTTAAATTTTACATTTTTAATGTTTAGTATATTAAAATGTATCCAGAAAAAAAAGAGCAACTCTGTTATTTGCTCCTGTCTTTCTCTCAAATAATGCTTGGTACTAGAAAGTTGAAGATCTTTCTTCTCGGTAGTAAGGGAAATATCTGTTCATACGTATCAAAGAAGGGAAAGGCAATATTCTGTATTGCATTTTAAACTTATCTAGTGGAAATCAATGTATTTGCATTAAAGTCAGTGAATTTATGTCCTTTTATGCCACCTGGAGAACTGGTCTGGAATCTCTTTATCACAAATACTATTTTTTTTCTAAAATAAATAAGGGTACATCTACACAGCAGTGTTATTTTTGAATAAGCTATTTCAAAATAAAAACTGTGAAATAGCTTATTTCGAAATAGAGTATCTTCACTACAAATACCTATTGAAATAGCAGTAAGCTATTTTGAAATTGAATGCGATTGAGACTCTCATCAGTGTAGCCGTTCTAAATCCCTTGGAAGCACTTCAGGCAGGGCATCAAGATGGCAGTCACTTCCTGTAGCTGCTTCCTGAGGCTATCTGCGGCTGGTGTTTAAAAGGGCCTCCCTGTACAGTCCCTTGAGGGACAGCAAAGCCTTTTCACTTAGGGTATGTCTAGACTGTCGACAAAGCTTCTGTCCACAAAGAGCATCTAGACTACATCCAGTTCTGTCGACAATGCAAGCCGCTTTGTTGACATGACAGTGTAGACGCAAAGGACAGTGTAGATGCAATAATGCCTTCTGTCGACAGAACTCTGTCAACAAAAGGCGTTATTCCTCGTAGAATGAGGTTTACAGCCATTGACAAAACTGAGTTCTGTCGACATTATGTCAACAGAACTCAGCGGCAGTGTAGACGCAGGTATAGTTTTGTCGACAAAAGTGGACTTTTGTCAACAAAACCCCATAGTCTAGACACACCCTTAGGGTTCACTAAGTGAACACTACAGCACTTCTGCCATGAAGCCGGAACAAAGCAGTCTGCAGCTCCTGAACCTCATGATGCACCTCCTGGTGCAGATTTTGCACTCTGCTCTCATAGCACTGTAGAATGTGGACCCATAGCTCCCTGCGGGACATCTCCTCACCTCTTTCCACATGCTGCTCATGCAGCACAACCCCTCCCACCCTGTCCTGCACACCGTGCACTGCTACTTCTGGCAATTGGACACCAGTTCTGACTGGTGGAACCGGATCATCATGGAGGGGTGGGACAACCAGCAGTGGCTCCAGAACTTCCGCACGCGGAAGGACACCTTCCTGGACCTATGTGAGTGGCTCGGCCCTGCCCTCAAGCAATGGAACACCCACATGCAACCCGCCATCTCCCTCCAGAAGTGGGTTGCCATCACTCTGTGAAAGCTTGCCACGCTGGACAGCTACTGCTCCATGGGGAACAAGTTTGGCGTGGGAAGATCGACCATTGGGGTCATGCAGGTATGACTCTCTTACTGTGGTATTAGGAGGATGATGAGCTGCTGGAATAGGGTTCCCTAGGGATGTGGAGTGGAGTGGTGGTGAAAGCTCCCTTCCCCAGAGGTTTTCCGGTCCCAGCGTCACAAAGCCCTGCTCGGGGATGGGCTTAGTTCGGGTTAGGCCTGGTGTATGGGGGAAGGAGATTTGGCCTTGGAGACCTCCCAAGGGCTCTGGAAACCTTGTGATTCTCTGTTTGTCTCCTCCAGGTGGTATGAGCCATTGACACCATCCTGATGTGCCAGCTCATCATCCTGGGCGATGTGTACCCCATTTTCACCAGCTTTGCCACCATGGGTTTCCCCATCTGCGGGGAGGCCATTGATAGCACCTACATCCCCATCCAGGCCCATGACCACCGAGCATCTAACTACATCCTCCAGAAGGTGTACTTTTCCAAGGTCCTGCAGGCAGTTGTGGACCACCAAGGCCAGTTTACTAACATCCACATTGGGTGATCGGGGAAGATGCACGAAGCCCGCATCTTCAACCAGCAGTGGCTCCAGAACTTCCGCACGCGGAAGGACACCTTCCTGGACCTATGTGAGTGGCTCGGCCCTGCCCTCAAGCAATGGAACACCCACATGCAACCCGCCATCTCCCTCCAGAAGTGGGTTGCCATCACTCTGTGAAAGCTTGCCACGCTGGACAGCTACTGCTCCATGGGGAACAAGTTTGGCGTGGGAAGATCGACCATTGGGGTCATGCAGGTATGACTCTCTTACTGTGGTATTAGGAGGATGATGAGCTGCTGGAATAGGGTTCCCTAGGGATGTGGAGTGGAGTGGTGGTGAAAGCTCCCTTCCCCAGAGGTTTTCCGGTCCCAGCGTCACAAAGCCCTGCTCGGGGATGGGCTTAGTTCGGGTTAGGCCTGGTGTATGGGGGAAGGAGATTTGGCCTTGGAGACCTCCCAAGGGCTCTGGAAACCTTGTGATTCTCTGTTTGTCTCCTCCAGGTGGTATGAGCCATTGACACCATCCTGATGTGCCAGCTCATCATCCTGGGCGATGTGTACCCCATTTTCACCAGCTTTGCCACCATGGGTTTCCCCATCTGCGGGGAGGCCATTGATAGCACCTACATCCCCATCCAGGCCCATGACCACCGAGCATCTAACTACATCCTCCAGAAGGTGTACTTTTCCAAGGTCCTGCAGGCAGTTGTGGACCACCAAGGCCAGTTTACTAACATCCACATTGGGTGATCGGGGAAGATGCACGAAGCCCGCATCTTCAGGAACTTCAGCCTCTTCCAGAAGATGCATGCTGGCATTTTTTTTCCCCGGACACATCAGAGTTGTGGACGTGGACATGCCAATCTGCATTGTGGAGGACATTGCCTTCCTTCTGCTCCTCTGGCTTATGAAGCCCTACACCGGACACCCTGACGAAAAGCAAGGAATGGATTAATGCCAGGCTCAGCAGGGCCTGCATTGTGTTGGATGGCTCCTTTGGGTGTCTCAAAGGGAGGTTCCACTGAACCTTCACCTGCCTGAACCTCAGCGAGTGGAATGTCCCCCAAATGGTGGCGGCGTGCTGTGTCCTCCACAATATTTATGAGACTAAAGGTTCTTTCCAGGGTAGGGAAGAGGCCGATC